AGCTTGGATATCTGCCAGGGCAGCTGATTTTCCAATTGCTTTAACTGGAGCAACCCTCGTTGAGGCTACACAAGGCTTTTCTTTTGCTTCAGGGTACCAGGGCAGTATTTAATGGTTGTAACTCAGTGTGTGGTGGGTTCTCAGTATGTGGCTGTGGGAGAGTGGTTTGATCAGGGCAAATGGTTTGGCTATCAGGAGAATCCAGGAAGGCAGATAAAACAACAGTTCAGCCACGAGAAAGCCAAGAAGTCCAGCCAAAAGCCATTGCCAGCCAGGTTGAGAGGAGAAAGGCAGCTCCTGCAAGGCTCCCAGCAGGTGAGCCCTTACCCAGGAGCAGGCTGTGCTGGCTGAGGTTGGCATCTGCTGCCACAAGCCACTCCAAGGGTCCTAAGCCTGAAAATCAAGTGGGAATTCTCAGGTAGAAGAGCAGAAATTATGAAAGCTGCTGCTCCCTCTTTCTGGTTAGTTCTGGCTTTCACAACCCCACAAGTCAGCCTCTCATGGCAGGGATCCTCTCCTCTCCTTTCCCATCTCACAGCCCTCTCTCAAGCCAGGCTGTCTCTTCCTCTGAAGAGCAGCTACAAGCAAACCTTTATCAGCCTCCCTTCTTCTGCAGACAGGAAGAGATGAATGTGCACTTGGAAAGCCATCAGCATGGCTTGCAGCGTATGAACAGCCTCCCCGATGCACCTTTGAACTCATTCCTCCTGCATTTGTTTGTCTTGCAGATAAAACTTCACAGCAGTGTTTGGAGAAAAGTCTAATGAGGAACCACTGTTTGCATAACAAAGCAAGGCTTCCTCTTCAGATGTTCAACCTTCATTAAGCATAATTTATATTCCAGCTAATCTTTGGAAGAGGGTAAAATATGGAGCCAAAGTTTGTTTTTACATAGTTTGGAGTAATGCATTGTTTGTTTTAAGTGGTCAGTTGCAACTGATAGTTGATTTAAATTCAACATAATGATGATTTGTGATGGCTGCATGTTGTCTAGGGGAGCATTGTGTCATTGACTGCCATGGTTTTAGCACTCTCCTGCGTCAGTTATTGAATTAAAGGATAAGACAAATGGATGGTTTCCCAGTTTTGCAGATGTTTCAACATGTCTGTAAGGCACGAAAAACTGTGAATTTGTAAAATACAGGGGTTTTTTTTTCCCCTCAGACTCATGTAGACTTGATAAAATAATGCACTGAACAGCAGTTTGCTTCTCTTGCAGCAGTCCTGGTAGCCAGCACCCTGGGACCTTTTGAAGGTCACCAGGTCCCTGCAGCGAGTAGCTCTTAGGATGATAAGGGACACAGCCATTTGTAAAGGCTCCTCAGCACTGTTGGAAGTCCTTGTGACTTGATGTGATTTGCTGCCTAGAAAGAAAAAGCAACCAATCATAGCTGAACACCTAAATGTCATTACAAGCCAGTGTGTAAGAAATGTTAATTTCTCTGCACTAAGGCTTTCTTCATACCATAGGCACATAAAAAATATCTCATTCTATTGACTCTTCACTGCAGTTTTGTGCCCCTGCCTGTGTAAGATATCTGCCCTTGCTCCAGTTGAAATACTCCGTATATTTCACTTATCTCCTTCCAGGTTTATTAAAAGATGAGAAATGACTGATAACATTTATCTTGTGTGCTCCTCGCTCAGACTTACCCCTTTCTGTAAGTTTACATTGAAATGACAGATGTTTAAAAACACCCTTCACCATATCATTAAAATTATGACCTGAGTTGTGTATATGGACAGCACCAAGGTTTGCTGCATCCTTTCAACACAAGGGAGCAGGGTTTTCCGAAACTACTTGGGATGCTGAGTGGGTCAGCGTTGGGGTACCCAGCCCCAGGCTCCTGAAGCAGCTGTCATTTAAAAGGCCTCATGGACTGTGAGGCGGGTTTGCATGTTGATTCTTTAATGCTGAGATACTTCCAACTGCAAAGCTCAGGATCCTCATCTTGTTTGATTCATCACATCTATGATCTAGCCATGACTGTTTTTAAAAGCAGCACCAATCTTTAGAGGATATGCTTATTTATTCATTTATTTATTTTATTGTTTTTCAGGAAAAAATGCTGTAAAGGTTATAAGTTTGTTCTTGGACAATGCATCCCTGAAGGTATGTGATTTCAGTGGTTTTACCCCTCGTGTTCCCATGCATTTGTCTTTGGTCTGTTTGCCCTGTTCTCTGCACCACCAGTTTGGAAGAGCATCCTGATATAACTGCAAGCTCGGCTGTATCTCATATGTCAGTGAGGGAACTGTTTCCAAGAAATTGTTGGGAAAATAAAAAGATCAGCGCCTTCCAAAAGTTTCTCTCAGCATGCCAAGCCTTGATCCTCCCCTAAGTACACGTGGCTGCACAGATCTTGTGCCATGACCTTCTGTAAACACAGGGCCACATTCTGCTTTTGGCTAAGCACATGGAGCCCTCTGTGCACTCAGGAGCACAGCCTTCCTGGCTGATGGCTTTCACCATGTACCCCTTGCCTCTGGCACAGACAGTTTGGCTTGTAAGTGCACAGGGAATGGGTGACCAGGTGAGTGAGTCCTGCCTTTAGTGACCTATTTCCCAGAGATGTCAATGAGGGGAGAGCATCACCAAACAGCATCTCTCTTCCACCACCTCTCCTGGTCATGGGCATGCTTCCTTGTCACCTGGAATTACTCGGAGTAGTTCATGCAGTAGTGAAAAAGGAACAGTCCCTCCTGGCAGAGGGGAACTGCCTGTATGCTTTGCAAAAGCAGTACTGGGGTCCCAATGCTCAGAGGTTGCTGCAGACAGATCTCATTTAGGAAAAGGTTGAGCTCTGCCTGCTGTAACCTTGGGGGAGGCCTCTCTTGAGTCTACCCAGGCAGTGGCTTCCCTGAGCAGTAGCAATGTGACTTCTTCAGCTGCTCCCACCGCTTTGGCCAATTCAGATGAAATTGGCTCTGAAGTTATAGGAGAAGAGGAACTGTCAAGCACAAGCAAATAGATGGAGCAGACAAGCCAATAAACCTTGTTTGCTCCAAAAAGCAGGTTAAAAAGTTGGTTTATGGTAACACATCCTTCTATTTTATGGCATATGGAAAGCCTCAAGCTGACCTGAGAGTTCTCCCAGTTTGGGATGGTGATGTTTTGAAAAGTGACAAATTAACATACTGGAGAGAGTCAGCTGGTTTTTGAGTTTCAGTCTCTGCCCAACAGGGATTATAATCCAAACTCTGATCCTGCTTTTTTTTTTTTTTTTTTCATTTATATCTTCTTTGCTGCTGGCTGGAAATGCTAGAACACTGGTTGCAGGGAAAAAAATAGAAAAACAAACAAACAACAACAACAACAACAACAAAAAACCCCTCACATCTTCTCAAAACAGGAATTGTACATTTGCAAAGAAGAAACAGCTCATGTTGCCAGCTGGAGTCCCAGGGAGCTGGGTAGAGTTTGGATTAAATCGATGCTCACAAGGATTTCCTGGTCCCATGGTTTTGCAGTGAGTTTTGTCTCAGTGTGTGTGGCACGAGATGACAGCTCCAGTGCCAGACGGACACTTGGAGGAAGCGGTTGTGCTCTGTTGTACAGGGTGGTTGTGTGTGTGGGAGGCAGTAGCTCTGAATCCTTTCGGGGTGGAAAGAAGCCAGGACCCTCCAGCCTGGCCTTCAGCTTTCCTATGGATTGTAACAATTTTATACACTGGTTATTCACTAAATATAATGGATACAGCAGGAAAAGTAATAGGAGCAAAAATAAAATGAGAACCATGGCAACATACTATTTTAGGCTTCTAATTTTAATCTCTTGAGGTTTTAGGTGATTATAAAAGCAGCTTTTATTATGTACCCACTGACTTCACTTAATCCTGTCTATTAACTGCATCTCAGTAACATGAGAGTTTCTTCCACTAATTGAATTTCTCTGCTGGCTGTGGCTTCTCTGCCTTTGTATCTCCATTCTCCCTTTTTCAGCCTGATCTATATTTTGCCTTGAACTTCAGAGGCCACAGCATTTGCTATAACATCTGAGATGATCTTCTGCCGTTGGTATAGGGATGAGAAACATGATTCAGTGAAACACTCATTTCACTTACTCTGTTACAAGACATCACTTGGCTCTTCACACATTGTTTTGGCATAATCTTGACAGAGTAGCTGTACAAAATGCATATCTCGACACAGGCACATAAATACATTACAGATGTGAGCTTATTAGAGCACATCTGCACCTTTTAATCCAGTGCTGGCAAGTCAAAGCCGTGAGAAGCAGATCCAGTCCTGCCTTCTCCATGATTTAACAGTGGCTGCAGGGAGGAGGGTTGGGAGAAGGGTAGACCCTCCCTTGTCCACAGCTGCCTTGGGAAGACACCGATCTCCCTCTTGGACAGCTGTTATTTAAA